AAAATGAATAAAATTAAAATATATAACTAAATGGGTTTAAAATTTATTTTCATCCTTGCTACACTTTTTTTTTTTGAAAAAAACGTTTGATTCATAACTACATTTTCTCATTCTGCCCATTTCTACTAATTTTTATCCATTATTAAAAATAATGAAAATTCAACCAAACACGACTTAAAATCTCCATTATTAATGTAATGGGGAAATGTTTTAGTCCATCACTATATGCTTTGCTGTCTGGCTGATAACAAATAGTGGCCATCAACGTAGTTTCCTAAATATTTGTCTGTATTATACACTAAAACTTGACAACATTACCACTAAGAGTGTCAATGGACTGGTTTTGGACCGGACCCCATCCAATCCAAAATAAATTTGAACGGACCAACAAGAAATATTGGATTGGACCAATTTGATCCAAAATAATTATTAGATTGGATTAGACCTAGTCCGTTTGTAACAAATTTTTATTGAATTGGATTGGATTAAGTCGGATATCTGATCCATTGATATAAGATAAGAATACCAATCTGGTCCAAAATAATTATTAGATTGTTTTAGTCCATCACTATATGCTTTGCTGTCTGGCTGATAACAAATAGTGGCCATCCACGTAGTTTCCTAAATATTTGTCTGTATTATACTCTAAAACTTGACAACATTACCATTAAGGGTGTCAATGGACTGGTTTTGGACCAACTCCGTCCCATTCAAAATAAATTTGAACGAACCAACAAGAAATATTAGATTGGACCAATCTAGTTCAAAATAATTATTAGATTGAATTAGACATGATCCTTCTGTAACAATTTTTTTTATTGAATTGGATTGGATTAAGTCGGATATCTGATCCATTGATATAAGATAGGAATATAGATGCCAATGAACTGGGTTTAAATTGAAATCAATCTAAATTGAAACAAATCTGAACAGATTGGATGRTTCAAACAATAAATTAGACTGATTTAAAATGGTCCAAAACATTCATTGTATTGAATTAGACCTGATCCCTTTGTAATGAACTCACTTTAGACTGGATCGAATTGGACCAAATCTACAGCCCTAATTACCACAACCGACACACCCATTATTTTATTTTACGTTACAACAGTAGTGCATTAACCATACATAGAAGTATTACACTGAGTTTCTCTGTTGCCATCAGTAGGGGTTAAAACGTAAAATTTGCAAGCTTTGTACGTAATATCGTTGGCAGCAGTGTTAGCTTCTCTACTTCTAATCAAAAGATGTCAGCAGGTTCATTGTCTGATCCTTGAGGTGCTTCATCTGGCAGTCAGCTGTAGTATTAATTACTGAACACCCGCTGAATCACGAAAAAACTAGCATCGACTTTGCACTTAAGCTCAAAGCCTTTACCGATCCCTCGATCAGGGCCCACCATTCAGCTTAGGCAGCAGATGTGACCAGGATTAAATCTTCAACCTTCTGCGGAAATGACAGTTAGATCCTTAGATAATAAAATAAATCCCATTGCAGTAGTCCCTGTGGCAGGCATGTAACCTCCATCAGTGAATAGAATATGGGTAGGATTTCCCCATGAAGCAGAGCTGTGGATATTTCCGTTGGGATGATGGTTTGTCTCGGGACTGAGGTAGGTTTCAGCTTTTTTTGTAACAGCAGAGTTGGGTGAAGAATGGGTTGGTCATGCAATTTAGCATTTCTCATGTCCCATATAAGACGAAAAATGATGAGGAATCGAACTTTCTAAAATAATGGTCTGTTTGGTTTGCAGCCGGAATGGTCTATTCCCAGTCTGTTTGGTTTAAATAGAAATGAGAATAAATTGGAATAGGATTTTATTCTCAAAAAGGGATAGGGAATGATCATTCTCTCAAATGAGAGATTGCCATTCTAATAAGAATATTGAGAATGGGATTTCRATTCTACTCAACCAAATAGTTGGAATCGGAATGGACTATTCTGATTTCGATTCCAAACCCCTATTCTAACAAACCAAATGGGGCCTGAAATTTTTTGGTGTCTTTAAATAGATTGCATAACTTGACTGACAACCATGTGGAGATAAATTGAGAGAGATGCAGATCCTGTTTGGATTCTGGGTTTATTCCTATCTGTAGTGTTAGCATCCATACAAGAGAAAGAAAAGATGTTGCCAAGACTCTGTTTCTGTTTGGCAAATAGTACAAAATTGGTCTTGAGGTTGTAGACAAACCAATTTGTCCTTTGTTTTAATCCCATTCCACCACGCTTTCTACATAAAGATCTGGAACCTATGGGGGGACTTTTGCCTTCAAAATGAAATGCAAGGGCCCAGTGCGTGGTTTGGACTTTGGAGGTGAAAGGTAAATAAGATGTGTACAGGTCATAACCCGACTTTACAGGGTATGTGGCCTTTGTTGATTTCTTCCATGAAAGTATATCCTCAGCCCCATCAGTCATAATAATGAGTTGGGTGATATGATTTACCGAATTTTCTGTGAACAAGTTAATTCAAAACTTGCGTATTCCAGTTTCCATTTTCATCCAATAACTTCTTAACAGTCTTGAGGTTTAACTGATTATGCAAGCCTTCTTTTAAGTTGAGAGGTAGAGTAGGGGTGTCAATTGGACTGGATTTGTTCCAATCCGATAATAAATAGGGTAAAATACAAAAACCTCCCCCGAAGTTTTTAACAAACATAAAAACCTACTATCTAGTTTCATTTTAATAAGTACCTCCCATGAACTTTTGAGAAACTCGACAAAAACCTCTCTTCGGTTATCTTTCCATATGGAAATGTTGAATTAATGTAGCAGTTTCTTCCAAATACCCATTCTACCCTTTTAAGCAACCCGGATTAGACCCATATGATGCACGGGTTTGATTGTACGGACCGGATCGGGTGCACCTGTCATTTCGTATTTAGGCTTTTCGAAAACAGGTCTCATTGACCCGCGTAGGTCGTCTTCTTCGCCCAAACTGTCAGACGGGTCATGTGCCGACTCGATTAGTTTTTACTTTTTTTTTTGTTAAATCTTTGTTTTTTCACAATAAAAAAGATGTTTGGCCTCCTACCTGCTATTTGCAATGGTTTGGAAGAGTTGAAACGTCCACGACCTCTGAAACGTCTTTCTCTCTCTCCGTTTGTCTGCATATATAAAGGGTTGGAACCTTACTTCATCCTTGTCTTCCAAACCCATTTAATTTGTTTTCTCAGTCACCTTCTCTCTAGACTACTCTAGACAAGATGATGCGTCCCCTTGAGCAAGAGCTTGGAATCAGTACTAATGGGTCTAACAATAATGTCCCCGTTGTGAACCGTAGCTCGGACAATATCATGGGCATGCCACACTCTGAGCTGCATGCTTTGTCCAATAACGTCAGCTCGTCTTTGGAGGATCAGATGCTTGAGTAGCTGCAGGCAGCCATGGGCAGCCAGTGCTCACTACTACGTGGGTTGTTGCGCCCTATCACACTCAAGGTAATCAGATGAAGCTTATGCTCTTCATGCTCTCAAGTTAAATATGGATTGTTGAATTTTAATTTTGTCATACATGCATTCGCTCTTTGTAGTTTGAAGATGTGAGTTATAGTATAAAGCTGAAGAAGTCCGGCGGATGTTGGTTTTCTGCATCGGAACCCAAGCCCGCTGAACGCACCATACTCAACGGCGTTAATGGGGTTGTCCGACCGGGCGACCTCCTAGTAGCGGGAAAAAGACGCTCTTGACGGCCCTGGCAGGTAGGTTTCCGGGGAAGTTCTCCGGCAGCATCACCTACAATGGCCAGACCTTCTCCGACTCCATAAAGTGCAAGATTGGGTTTGTGTCACAAGATGACGTACTGTATCCCCACCTCACCGTGCTGGAGACGCTAACCTACGTCGAGGAAGTTCTCCAGCAGCATCACCTACAAGCGGGTCAGTATCGGGCAAGAGATGCTGGTGAACCCGAGTCTGCTGTTGTTGGGTGAACCCACGTCGGGGCTCGACTCCACCACCGCTCAGCGTATCGTGGCAACACTACAAGGACTCGCAAGAGGCGGAAGAATGGTGGTGACGACGATACATTAGCCATCGAGCCGGCTGTACCGGATGTTCGATAAGATGGTGGTGTTATCGGATGGGTGCTAGATAAACAGCGGCAACGCGTCTCTGGCACTCGAATACTTCGGTTCTATCGGTTACATGCTCGGGGTTAATCTCATCAATCTAGTTGATTTTCTGCTAGATCTAGCCGGGGGTTAATTTCGGTTCTATCGATTACACATTAGTTTAATTTTTTTTGTATAGGAAAGTGACGGAAGAGAAGTTTTTTTCCAATTTCTAGAGGAGGTATTTATTAAAATGAAACTAGAGAAAAGGTTTTTATGATTGTAAAAAATTTAAGGAGAGTTTTTTGTATTTTACCCTAATAAATAAAAGGGAATTTCGGACTGCAATCCCCTCATATCTGATTTAAAACCCCCTCCTTGTCTAGATTTCTAGGGTGGATTGAACCGTAAAAACCCCTAAGTTTAAAACATCAACCGTTTTTACTTTTTAGAGTCGCTAACGCATCCATGTTTCGTTAGATTGTCTCAGCGTCCATTGAAAATATCTTCCGTACTTATCATCATCTAGTTCAAATCAGCCCGTTGTGTATTGAGAACATCTCTCGATAATGGCATCATTATTTCTAAGATTATTAGTGTTTTTGTGATGCGCTCGGTGGGGCGCAGAGGTGAATTCACTAAAAAGATAGTGCAGTGGCAGCCTTGAGAAGAGATAGGCTGAGGCGGGTCCGGATGTAGTAGGCACATTAGGTAAAACATAGTGAGTGAGCACTTAACAGCTGTGTAACACATGTCCCAGTTAGATAGAAATTATCCATTATTTTATTATCTTTATCAAAACAATTAAAAATAAAAATAATGAAAAAAAAACATAAACATGTTTGAGAATTGGGATTCATTTACATTTTTATTTTTTATTGTTTTTTTATTTTTAATTATTTTGACAAAAATAATAAAATAATGTCTAACCAAACAAAAACTTTTAAATGAAAAACACATTACATGTGTCACACAGATGCACTTCAAGCAACGGTGAAATAGCCCATGATTTTTTCCCGCTCATTCGTGAATACAAAGACGGACGCGTAGAGAGATTCAAGGACCATGATTTTGTTCCCCCATCTCTCGATCCCTGCAGTGGTGTTTCATCAAAAGACGTCGTCATCGCACCAGAAACCGGCATATCTGCACGCCTGTACCTTCCAAGCACCACCTACTACCCACATCGGAAGATCCCCCTCCTCGCTTACCTCCACGGTGGTGCCTTCTGCATCGAGAGCGCCTTCTCCTCCACCTACCACCGTTTTGTCAGTTCCTTAGTCGCCGAAGCCCACGTGGTGCATCCTCTCCCCACCGCCTACGACGACTGTTTTGAAGCTCTGAAATGGGTAGCCTCCCATTCGAAAGGGGACGGGCCTGAGGCCTGGTTGAACGATCACGTCGACTTCGACCGAGTGTTTCTGGCCGGCGACAGTGCGGGTGCCAACCTAGCACACTACGTCGCCATGCGGGTGGGAGAGTCCAGGGTGGATGGCCTGAACAAGAACAAGCTTATCGGGTTGGTTCTAATCCATCCATACTTCGAGGTGAAGGAGCCGCTGGGTCCGGAGGCAAGCGATGAGGAGAAGAAGGCCAAGGTGGGTAAGCTGTGGCAATACTTGTGCCCGTCAATAATTGGGTGCAACGACCCGAAGATAAACCCAGCAGCAGATCCGAAGATATCGGGTCTGGGGTGCAGGCAGGTGGGTATATGGGTGGCGGAGAAAGACTTTCTGAGGGAGAAAGGAGGATTGTTATATTACGAAGTGGTGAAGAAAAGTGGATGGGGAGGTGTGGCAGAGGTGATAGAAGAGGAAGGGGAGGACCATGTTTTCCATCTAGTGAAGCCCGATAGTGAGAAGGCCGTGGCCATGACGAAACGCCTCGCTGCTTTTCTCAACCACCACTACCAGGACAAGGTATGAATGTATGATGTAAGATCAGGTACCGTATCGCTCGCTCCGTTGGGATGGGACCAGAATAATAATTTCCAAATTTTCAATGTTTGAACTTTGAACAAAATTGAATAAGCCACAAACTGTGTTGTGACTTTTGTGAGTGGTGACAAAATCAGTTAATCACACGCAATCCATCCAAATCTTTCTTGAATTTCCGACTCAGTGGTCCAATGACTTTTGTTTTTTTTTTCTCGTTGCTCCGATCCAATGCTCGTGGGATTGATTTCATCTTTTCACGTTCTTCTGGTCCCAAATATCGAAGTATAAAACCTTGGTCCAAATGATATTGGTCATCTTGGTTTGGCGTGCTTGGATGGAATATGATGGATTGATTGATAGTGATACAATAAAATCTATCTAATTCTAGGTATTATTTGCCCCATGTCATACCAAGTAATAAAATATCATGAAATGGGGAAATAAGAATAAACCCCATTAATCTAATCACATTGTTTATGAGTAGACCTGTTCAAGGGCCGGGTGGCCTGACGGGCTGGCCCGACCCGGCCCCTGGACGGGCTTGAACAGGTATATGGGCCCGCGGGCTTAACCTCGGGCCAAAAAGCCCGGCCCACAATAAATTTGAAATGGGCTCGAGATTTGCCAAAATAGCCCGGCCCGAGCTTAGCCCAGTCCGACCTATAATTAAACCTAAAAACCTAGTTGAATACCCTTCTTTTTTTCACCTATTTCCCTTCTTTTACCAGCCGAACTCTTCTTCTCCACATCCTCTTTCCCTTCTTTATATTCTTTTTTTAATGTAAATAAATTTTGAATTCATATTCTTTTTTTAATATAAATAAATTCTGATTTATATTGATTATTGAATAGGGAAAAATTCTAWTTTTTTATTAGGTCAGGCTTCGGGCTTTTTATCAGGCCAGGCTTGGGCCCAAGTTGTAGGCCCGTTGGTCGGGCTGGGCTCGGGCTTGGGCCTAATATATTTCCATTAATGAAGAGTAAAAGCCCGGCCCGACCCCGGCCCAGCCCATGAACATGTCTATTTATGAGTGTTGCTTTTTTCACTAATTTATTTTAGGTGTTTTTTTCTGGAATCTTTTAAAGTTTAAACTCTTAAGAAAACCACCACAAAATATGAGTAACTGGAGAATATTCGGTTGTTGGGGAGTTTCAGCTTCAGTCAGTGCAATGCCCGTTCGAACAAGAGCCTTGTATTAGGAATATTTTCAAACTTATGTGCTTTAATGCAAGGTTGCAAGAAGTTGTTCGAACGATATGAACACCGACTTGCACCAACTGAAGTTGAACTCATTGTTGGGGTTTTGGTCAGTCATCGGAGGAACAATGGAGGGTTCGACGAAAGTTGCTCCTACCGTGGAGGGGAGTGGAGCGTTCACAGGTGCCATTATCCGAGACACATTCAGAGTAGGAACTCCGTACACAGAGAGGGGGACGGTGAACTGCCCAATACATACTGCTGGGACCTGAAGTTTCTCCCCGACGACACTCATTTCTGTGCTGCGTCCGGCGTTGCTGGAGGAAGCCATGGAAACTGAAGTTGCAAAGTTTGGTGGAAAAGGCTTTTCGAAGCGTATCCCATAGATGGCGCCAATTGATGATGCGCGACTTGGTCACTCCTAGCTGCTTGCCGTTATCAGAGATGAGTATTCGGGGTAGTCTGAAACGGCAAACTATGTTCTTCCAGAAGAAGTTCTGCACATTCCGCACTGTGATTGATGCGAGGGGTTTGGCCTCCACCCACTTAGTGAAATAATCAACTGCTACCACAAAGAACCTCCTCTGTCCTGTTGCTGGTGTAAATGGTTCGAGTATATCGATCCCCCATTGTGCGAAGGGCCATGGGCTGGTGAGGTACTTTAGGTCGGCAGCGGGCTGGTGGTGGATGTTGGCGTGCTTCTGACATTTGTCGCACTTTCTGACGATCTCAACTGCATCTGCCATCAATGTTGGCCAATAATATCCCTGTCGCAGCGCTTTCTGGGCGAGGGCCCTGCCCCCCAAGTGTCCGCCACATAAGCCCTCATGAGTGTCGCGGAGCACGAGCTCGACTTCAGAGGGTCGTAAGCAGCGCAGATAAGGGAGCATGTAAGATCTTCGGTACAACCGCNCACAAGCCCTCATGAGTGTCGCGGAGCACGAGCTCGACTTCAGAGGGTCGTAAGCAGCGCAGATAAGGGAGCATGTAAGATCTTCGGTACAACCGCCCGTCTATCATAACGTATTTGGCTGCCTGGCGCTTTACCCTTCTAACAGCATTACGATCTGCAGGGAAGGTCCCATGTAGCAGGTAGCTCGCGAGTGGGTCAATCCAGCTCGGCTCGGCTTGTACGACAGGAGCGACCTCCTCTGCCCCCTGAGAATGCTAGGCCGAGGCAAGTTCTCTATGTACACGGTTCTCATGGTGTTATTGCTTGTGTTGGCTAATCGGGATAGGGCATCGGCCTCAGCGTTCTCGGATCTCGGGATCTACTTGATGAAGTAGGCTGGAAGTTGAGCAAGACATCTCTAACTTTGGCTAAGTAGGCGACCATGGTTGGCTCGCGAGCTTCGTATTCGCTAGTGATTTGGTTGACCACGAGCTAGGAGTCGCTACAGATGACGATATGCTTATCTTTCACTTCGCTTGCTAAGGCCAGTCCGGCTATCAACACCTTGTACTCCGCTTTATTGTTGGACACAGCGAACTCGAAGCGTAGCGCATACTCCAATTTCACACCGCTTGGCCCATACAGAACGATTCCAGCCCCGCTACCCTACTGATTTGATGAGCCATCCACAAGGAGGATCCAGGGCTCCTCATCCCAGGTCGGTTTCGGTCTAACCAGGAGAGAGGCCGCGCTAATTGGAGCCTCACTGTGCTCAGGCTCGGCCAACTCAGGGACCTCGGTGCTGAAAGTGCATTCTACGACGAAGTCAGCTAAGGCTTGTGCCTTAATGGCAGTTCATGGTTTGTACTGGATGTCGTACTCGCTGAATTTGATTGCCCACTTTGTCAATGTACCGGAGATCTCGGGCTTGAGCAAGACTTGCCTCAGAGGCTTATTGGTGAGGACACGATTGTATGAGCTTGGAAGTACAGTCGCAATTTCTGACATGCAACAACTAGCGTGCACGCCAACTTTTCGATCTTAGGATACCTCATCTCCGCTTCCTGCAATACTTTGCTAACATAGTAGATGGGTCGTTGGACCTGATCTACTACTTTTGTCAGTACCGAGCTAATTACCTTGTCACTCGTGGACAGGTACAGCTCCAAAATGTCTTCCTCCTCGGGTTGGGTTAACACCGGGATACTAGCGAGGTACCTTTTGAGCTCGTCAAAAGCGAGCTGGCACTCTTCGATCCATTCAAAGTCTTTGCTTCTCTTAATTGCCTTAAAGAAAGGCAGACAACGATCTGTCGATTTAGACATGAAGCGGCTCAGAGCGGCTATTCGGCCATTCAACCTCTGAACCTCCTTCAATTTATGGGGTGGTCTCATATCTAAGATGGCCTTAATTTTGTCAGGGTTGGCCTCAATACCACGTTGATCAACAATGTAACCTAGGAATTTACCCGAGGTGACACCGAAAACACACTTGTTCGGGTTTAACTTCATATTAAACTTGCACAAAATTTCAAAAACAGAGTGCAAATTTTTTATTAATTTGCTTGAAAATTGGGTTTTGACGACCATGTCGTCTACATAACAATCTACTTTTTTGCTGATCAACGGCTCAAACAGTCGGTTTACAAGTCTCTGAAATGTTGCCCCGACATTTTTCATTCCGAAGGGCATGACCTTGTAACAGTATAGGCCGAGCTCGGTTATGAAGGCCGTTTTTTCTTCGTCAGTAGCGTCCATTCTGATTTGGTTGTAGCCTGAATAGGCATCCAAGAAGCTCAACAACTCATGCCCTGAGATCGCGTCCACCAAACGGTCGATCTTGGGGAGTGGGAAGCAGTCCTTCGGGCAAGCTCGGTTTAGGTCGGTATAATCGACGCACATGCGTCATTTACTGTTAGCCTTTTTTACCAGAACGGGGTTGGCTACCCAGCTCGGGTAATGGAGCTACAGGATCAGTGTTCAGTTTGAGTGATGATTTTAGGGTCTATGCCAGGCATCTCGGCCGCGGACCATGCAAAAACATCTAAATTTTTAAGTAGAAAGCTTACCAATTGAGATCGTAGAGGCTCCTCGATTGAAGCGCCGATCTGGAGGGTCTGAGTTGGGTCTTCACATTGCTCCGCAGGTCACTCCAGCTCGAGGTCGTCTGCCACCTTGGTTTTTCCTTTGAGGGCGGCAACATAGCACTTGCGAGACTCGAGCTGATCGCCTCGCGCTACCCCAACTCCGAAGTCCGTGGGGAACTTCATGGCCAAATAATAGGTGGAGACTACCACTTATAGAGCATGGGTGATGGGCCGACCTATTATGGCGTTGTACGGGGAGGGAGTTGTGACCACCTAAAAGCTGTGCTCGAGCCTCACTATGATAGGCCAGGTGCCGACCTCCACTGATATGAGGACTCTCCCTAGGGGCCTGACTTCCTCCCCACTGAAGCCCACCAAGGGAGTGCTCGCGAGCTTGAAGAGTATGTCTGTCGAACTGCCGGAGTCCACGAGGACATGCTTCACCTCGAAATCATTGATTCTTATCTTTACGTCGAGCGCGTCATCGTGGGGGTACTAAACTCCGTGCGCGCGTTGTCCTCGGTGAAGAAGATTGGTTCCTCTGTCTTGGGCCGCTTCAGGGGATTCCACTCTTCTCTTTCGATCTCATGAGCCGAGGTCCTTGCCGCGACTGAGGTGCAGCCCACGACAATTGATCCGTCGGTGATCATTTGGATCGTTCCCCGAACTGGCCTTTCTTTGGGTGGCTGCCTCTACAGCTGCTCACTTTGCTTGTGGCTGGATTCTGGAGCGTCTCTGCCTGCTTCACCTGCTTATCATTTTGTACAAAATTTCTTAGATATCTGCGATGGATGAGTTCTTTTATCTCATCG